GGATTAATTCTTCGATCTTATTGGACAACTTCAGGCATTCAATCCCAAATGATTAACATCATTATTACTATTATAACTATTCCAGTTTTTTTTCCTTTCTTTTTGCCTTTTCATTCGGGAAAAGGTTATTTTATTNAATGGGCCCTCGGCCTCCTCGAGTATGATTTTAATATTATCTATCGGAAGGGTGCTCTGCACCATGTTCCTGATGCGTTATCCCGCGCTCCCGAGGGAGAAAGCGAGGACTGTGAAACGATTGAAGTTGCACAAATTTCCACCGACAAGTGGTACTCACGCAAGTACCGTAACGTACAGCGTGCTCCAGATTTCTTTCCGGACTGGAAAATTGAGGACGGACGGTTGTACACCCACCGACCCTCCGACTTCGTTACGCTAGAGATGGTGGATCTCGATGCGTGGAAGTTGGTACTTCCTCGCGAACTACGTTCGCAGGCCATGGCTCAGTGTCATGAACTTCCCCAAGCGGGTCATTTAGGGGTTGATAAAACATATCGTCGCCTCTATGTGTTGTACTACTGGCCGAACATGTTTCGCGATGTAGTTTCGTTCGTCAGCCGTTGTGATACCTGTCAACGCTGCAAAGTAGAAAATGCTTTGCCGCGGGGTCACATGGGCCGACGCGTAGTCCAGGGTCCTTGGACCACCGTGGCTGCCGACATCGTTGGCTCTATCACTCCGAGTAAAACCGGCTATTCCTACGTACTCGTGTTACAGGATCTGTTCACGAAGTGGGTAGAGATCATTCCTCTCCGGCGTGCCACTGGCAAGGCGATCCGGCAGCAGGTAGAAAACGTTATCATTTCTCGCTGGGGGACACCCCGCGTCCTATTCACCGATAACGGAACGGCGTTCGTAAATCGGGAGATTCAAGCCCTGGCGGCCCACACGGGGTTGAAACATGAAACATCCCCGCCGTACCATCCCCAGGCAAATCCCGTTGAGAGGGTCAATCGCGTTCTCAAAATGATGTTGCGAGCCTTCATGGAGGGCAACCACAGAACTTGGGACGTGCACTTACATGAATTCCGTTTTGCATTCAATACGGCGGAACATAGTTCCCTTCAAACCACTCCGGCTTTTGCAAATTTTGGCCGGCATCCTCTTGCCGCGGTTTCGCTTCAACGACAACTCGAGGGAGACGTTAAGGTCATCCCTGGCGAACCCCTGGAATGGGTAGGTCGGATGAAAACGCTGGAGCTCCTCCGTAAGACCCTCATCCACGCCTTGCGGGAATCGTCTGACAAACAGGCGCACCACTATAATCTCCGTCGTCAAGACGTAGAGTTCAAGGAAGGTGACCGAGTCATGCGTCGATCTCACCNAACCACAGAACTTGGGACGTGCACTTACATGAATTCCGTTTTGCATTCAATACGGCGGAACATAGTTCCCTTCAAACCACTCCGGCTTTTGCTAATTTTGGCCGGCATCCTCTTGCTGCGGTTTCCCTTCGACGACAACTCGAGGGAGACGTCGAGGTCGTCCCTGGCGCACCCCTGGAATGGGTAAGTCGGATGAAAAGGCTGGAGGTCCTCCGTAAGACCCTCATCCACGCCTTGCGGGAATCGTCTGACAAACAGGCGCACCACTATAATCTCCGTCGTCGAGACGTAGAGTTCAAGGAAGGTGA